TTCCGGAACTTCATCTTCGAAAGACGAGGGTCGCCAGCTCCCACGCATGTGCAGCAGACGACGTCAGCGTTGTTGAGAATATCTCGTTCAGCTATCTTGGTAAGCTGTTTGTACTTCTTCTCATCCTGACTGGACAGCTCGCCAAGTTCGTTCTTCAACTGGGAAAGTTTGACAAGCTCGCTGTTGTGCTCTGACATTCGCACCTGCTCATGAAGCGCTAAGAAGCTGACAGACGATTCCACATCCTCGCGAGATTTGGCTGTGAGACGAACAACCTTGAGTCCTGTACGGTGAACACGCTCGCAGAGTTGGTCGACGGCGACGTTGGAGGGCGCACATACGAGGACCTGGTTCCCGCTCATCTTGGCTAAGTGGTAGATGATGGTAGCCGATGTGACAGTCTTGCCAGTTCCAGGAGGACCTTGAATCAAGCTCAGGGGCTTCTGAAGAACTGCCTTGATGGCGCCAACTTGACTTGGATTGAGATCAGGGAGACCAGGGGCAGACCACTTCTTAGGCAGGTTTGTCTTCATGACCTGTAGCTGGACCTCATGACCAAGCAATGTGTGGAAAATGTAGCCAGATACACTCATATCATCAACAGCAAATGTTTTCATAGCCAACTGCATGCGGTCATAGGAAGTCGCTTTCCAAACGTAGTCTGCTGAAAAGTTGTGGGATAAGTCAGTGGGCACAAGCTTTTCGTTTCCAGTCTTGCGCAGCTCCAGTGTGACCTCATCAGACTGGTTATTCGGGATCTTGATGACATAACCAACCCCTTCCCAAGGAGATCGCAGCTCGCCCTTGTAACGCAGGCGCATTTCATCACCAACAGCAAGCTTGACATCTCCGGATTCGATTTTGTGGAGATTGAAGCTGACTAGATGCTTATTGTTCAAACCGTAGTCCCAGCGTACGAGGAGCCCATCCTCTGATTGCGCTTCCTTTAGTTTCTTGTCGTAGTCGGATTCCATTTTGACCAAAGGTCCGAAAATGTTTTGGTAATGATAAGGATCGTCATAGTTTAGCAAGACAGGTTGAGGGTCGTCATCAATACTAGCTGCCTTCTCAAGATCAACAACTGTCGCTTTAGGCTCGATCTTCCACATCTCCTCCAATTTGGCAATCATATTGGGTGTAAGATGGCGGGCTCGGAGCTGTTCGGAGTCGGATGGGGTCGCGACAAGCCAAGGCAGAAAAGCTCGTTCTTCGATGAGGGGTTGCCATCGTGATGTATCCCAGTTCATGTCCTTGTTCGAGGTATTGGCCGCGCAAGGCTGTCGGCAGAGGAGGACGACAACAGTATCGGACTTTGCTGGAATGAAACCTAGGAGAAAGGCATTTTTGGTTCCGCAGTTATAGCATTCAAGTACAGTATCACCCAGCGTAGACTCAGGGTGGAGTTGAACCTCTTTATGGCGAGCTCGAACAAGATGATTCACGATGTGGGTCGAGGTGCCGTTGCCTCTCGCACTACAAAACCATTTGTTGCAGGTGAGACATTTGACAACACATCCTGGGGAGTGAATACCGCAATAACTAAAACCATGTCAGCCAGATCCAAACATGAAGGCCACAGATAAACCTACGCGCAGGCATGGGCTGGAAGTTCTTTCTCTTCATCCTGGCCCTTAAGTTTGAGTCCCGTCAGTCCGTCGATCGGGACACTGTTAAGACTATCATTGTCGTCTTCTTCAAAAGCCTCGGTCTGGTTATCATCATCATCGGCTCGGCGGCGGCCATTACGATCTCCATATTTGCCATAGAGTAAGCTCTCGTCAGGGTCGATCGTGGAAAGGTCATCGGCTCCAGCTTTGATGGCAGCAGCGGAGTCGGATATCAAATGATTCCCAACATGGGTGAAGGCGCCCTCCATGTTGGTGTTTTGTTTAAGTTGTTGGTGGCTCGTAGAGTTTTTCTGCACAACTTATCAGCAGCTGAATGCCCCGCGTCAGGGCAAAGTAAGGGTGGCGGTGACGCAGTGGGCGATGAAAAGATCCAATACGTTCCTCGGCAGCCAAGACAGCGAGCGCGACTTACCTAGAGCTGTTATTCTTCCGGGACGTATCCGTATGGGAGGCCCAGGGTGGCTCGGATCGGATAGTAAAAGTGTTTGGAAGTTGCAAGTCGCTGGTAAGGCTCACATCATCGCGGGAACGAATGCGCCGGTACAAAGAATGGCCAGGCGGCGAGGTATATTCTCGGAGTCAGGCGGGTTTGGCAAGTAGTAAGGATTGTCACAGAACGCACGTCACAAAGTTGGCGGCAAGAAATTAAGCCTTCTGTTGAACAATTACATCCAGGTGAACAGCTGGACCCTCTTTGCGAAGTGCAGTTGGTGGGACATTTTGCGCCCACGTGATAGGCGGTTTTCGTTATCAATAGATGTCCGCCTCGATAAGGAACTTTTTCTTGCGACTGACTTCTTGGGTGGTAGCGTATACCTACCTAGTATCTAACCTAGAAATTTTATACATGTTGCAAAAGCTCAAGCATCACTTTGCGAAAGCGAACAGACGCCAAAACAATGATTGTAGGTTCTAGTAGGAGTATCTTTTTTCTTTCTATGAATATTAACTTTGTTGGCATAGCGCAAACAAGCGCGCCAAAGGCGCGATTACCTCTATCGACGTGCCCTTCTTCTGCGGGACGCTGAGATCAGCGAGAAGCGAGCCAAATTGAGATCTTCTTTGGCTTCTGGCAAGCCTTTGGATCCTTCAATTGCCAACGACAAGTCACTTCGCAAAGACTACCAGTATGACGAATCACGACCTGATCTCACCACCAACGAGCAGCTCGACCTAGACGATGAGTACGCTCAGCTTTCAGGCATTGTCGATCCTCGCGTTCTTGTGACGACTTCACGAGATCCCTCGGCTAGACTATCAGCCTTCGCCAAGGAGATCAGACTTCTACTTCCCACTGCCGTGCGCCTCAATCGCGGAAACCTCATCCTGCCCGATCTAGTACGCTCCGCTCAGTCAGCTGGGCTCTCCGACGTCGTCCTTCTTCACGAACATCGAGGCACTCCAACTGCTTTGACATTGTCGCATTTTCCGCACGGTCCAACTGTCTCATTCTCTCTTCACAATGTCGTTTTACGCCACGATATTCCTGGAAGCGTTCGAGGAACAGTGAGCGAATCGTATCCTCACCTCATCTTCGATGGCTTTACAAGTCGCTTAGGTGAGCGTGTAGTGAAAGTACTGAAACACGTTTTTCCTCCTAGAGAAGCCATCACGAGCAAAAACAAGGTCGGCAACCGAGTCGTCACATTCAAGAACATCGAGGACAGTATTGAAGTCAGACATCATGTTTTCGTACGGACAGGATACGACAGCGTTGAGCTAGCTGAAGTCGGGCCACGGATGACAATGAGGGTATTCGAGATTCGAAGTGGCACGCTTGACAACAAGGATGGTGACGTCGAATGGCACCTCACGCAGTACACACGAACCGCCAAGAAGAAGAACTACTTATGAGAATGTCACACACTTCCCGTAAGCATGCGATCCTATCGGAGATGCCCTACCATGGTCACCTCCTGCCTGATCGAAACGAAACCGCTTCGAATCTCAAAGGCCTAGGCAGCCTCTGCACTACCGTTCATCATATGATCTGGATAACTTATCGAGCTGGAACATATCGTGAGCAGGGACGACGCATGGTTGCATAAAAACCGTGACACGATATTGGCGTTTTGGAGTTTTTCGATGCAAAATTATGAGGCGGTGGCCTTGAGAAGATGGCGACTGTGGTATTGGAAGAATTGACTTCGGCTACTACTAGTGGCAGATGTTTATTGGTTTATGGCGACCAGCGTCAGCACTGAGGTGAGAAAGATGATAAAAAAGACTCCAGGCAGCTGGGGTCAAGCTCGGTCTTGCGGAGGCGAGTTACCCTTGAAGCGAAACAGTTCTGTTTGTTGTCCCGCAGCAGTTTCAATTGGACTCATGTTGGCTATCTATCATCAAAACTATCTAGAACCAAACCAGTGCCTTGGCGCTGCGGATGGAACCTACCTTCGACGGCTTAGCCACCATTTGACCATATGGGAATGGGGGAAAATTCAGAACAAAACACTAGTAATTCTCCATAACACTGATTTTCCCTTCTGAGTTGTAAAAGGTATGGTAATGCTTCATCAATGTGTTGAGTGGCCCGGTTTATCATAGTCCTGTCCACCGATTTTTAGGTCCGGCGGACAAGGGAGATCAATGCTCAGCCTCAGTGGGCAGTTGGGGGGATTCGCATTCGCTGTTTGTATATGACCATAGCCTCAATGGCTGACGAGTAGTAATCGGTGGATGGCGCAGAGAGGGTCACCAACAAGACGAGAAACCCAAGCTGCCTACCAAGAGACCCTTGACTGGGTTTGTGTATTTCTGGAAACTTACCCATTGTCTCTTTTCCGTGCTTGGTTCGAATGAACACCCGCCACTTGCGTACGCAGGCATCTAACGATTCTAGGTAGATCCGATACTGCCGGGGTTCAATTTTAGGACCTTCATACATAAGCCGAATGAATTCCCTCTCGGTCAGCAATTGAAACCTGAGCTTGGATCATTCATTCTGCCAGATAGTAACGTCTAGTTGCCACATCAGCATTGATCAAGTTGGCGATCTCAATAAGCGAGGCTGTTTTTTGTTTACTCATTTCTCTCGAACCTGCTGAACCAAAAAAGATCAAGCTTTTCCAGACCCAAACACCTACCGGGGCACCTACGTCACGTTCGTATCCGTCCACTGAAGGACCCGTGCTCAAAATCCACCAAAACCGCAAAAAACCACAGGCGCCACTACGTCCTGGCGCTCGGCCCCGGCCCATATTGTCCAATCCACGTTGATCTTAAGGCCAAGACAAACTAAGGCTCGGTCGAGTAGCTTCATCTTATCATTTCTCACCACCAGCACCAGCCTTTTATTAGTGCTTTTTGCTCTTCTCATCATCACCATCCATCCCCCGCCATTGCTTCCTTGTTCGACTATAATTGATCACCATGTCCTACGATCAATACAATCAGAACCCTTACCAGCAGGGCTCGGCTCAGGATAACTCCTATGGCTATGGCCAGGTACGCGCAACCCTGTTATCCCCTGTTCCTCATAAACTGACCACAATCATACTGACCCGAATTCTTCCATGCAGGCCAATCCTTATGCGCAAGACGCGCCAGCCCATGGTAATGACCAATATGAAATGCAGGATTATTCGCAGCAGCCTACAGCTACTAGCACAAGTCTTTCTCAGCAAGAATTCTTGAACCGCGTGCAGAAACTCCGCGATGAAATCAAGGGTCTGACCAACGACGTCGACTACATCGGCCAGCTCCACCAACGCACCCTCAGCAGTACCGACGGGTCCGCCAACCATGACCTCGAGCAGTATGTTTCTCAGACCCAGATCCGAAACACCGCTATCAAGGACGGCATCAAGGGACTCGAGCGCGATCTCGCAAAGACCAATGACAACTCCCGTACCACAAAGAACACCCAGCTGCAGTCTCTCAAGACCTTCTTCAAGTCAGAGCTCGACAAATACCAGAGCATCGAGCGGGATTACCAGCAGCGCTATCGCGACCAGATTGCTCGTCAATACCGAATCGTCAACCCCGATGCTTCCGAGCAAGAGGTTCAGGAAGCCGCCAACGCCGACTGGGGCAACGAGGGTGTGTTCCAGACTGCTGTAAGTAACCCCCCCAAGCGACGACCAGCTAGCTACTTTCACAGACAGCATGGCTAATGCTAATGAAAAACTCAGCTGCGAACAAATCGTACCGGTCATGCAAGCTCCGTACTCGGGAATGTTCGCGCTCGTCACAGTGAACTTCAGCGCATTGAGCAGACTCTTTCCGAGCTTGCCATCCTCTACCAGGAGCTCGCCACCATTGTCGAGCAGCAAGAGCCGGTCATCCAGGCCGCTGAAACTAATGCGATCAACACCGTTGATCACATGGAGAAGGGCAACGAGCAAGTCGAGGTGGCCAAGAAGCACGCTGCCAACCGTCGCAAGCTTAAGTGGTGGTGTGCCCTCGTCGTCTTGCTCATCATCATCGCTATTGCTGTAGGCGTCGGTGTCGGTGTTTCTGTGGCCAACAACAACAAGTAAACGACTGGCTGATCATCTCCGACTTTATTGCCGCTGTTATGATGCTGATGCTCTGCTTGTTTTTGTTTCTCATTTATCCCTTCATAGATATCTCGACGACGCATTTGAGTTCCCGTTTTTCCGTTTTTACCCACATGACCAGAGGGTTTGACACGTCTTCAACCCGTATACCGCCTCCCGTATTTAATCATTCTTCTTCCCTTTAGCGCTGAGGCGTTAGGGGCCTTATTGTTGGGGTCAGGGAGGAGAGGGTGGATTCACCCTGACTATTAATGCGAAACCCGGGTTTATGTGAGCTTTTATCCTCATATGGTATTTTTGCTTTATTTTTGTCTGCTGGCCTTCCATCTTTTTTGCTTCTCTGTACGATTACGGAACCGTCTCCAATTACAAGAGGAGAGGTAGACAGATGGGAGGGGTATCGCCATTTTTGTATATATGTATCTTGAAACACGATCCAGAAAACGTCATGGAGTGCTTGAGGCTATTGGAGTAGAGATTCCATGGTATTAATGACATTGCCTTTGTAGGCTGTTCAATCATATCGGTCTACATAGTGATTTTGAGAACCAGATTCACAAACAAGTCATTGGACAGGGCGTGACGAAAAAAATACGACTCATTTTCTTCCTCCAAAGCACCGGTGCAACGATGTCCAAGCCTGCTGAGTACCTGCCCTGCGTCCATCCTCAAAAATTCCCGATATGCTTGAGAAAAAATATAAGAGAAGCACTTATTATATACAGGTACAGTTGGGTTCAGTTGTGTACATTATAGTTCCCAACTGCAGAGCATTGGACCTCACTTGCTGGTGAGGAAGCAGCTGGGTAAGCTCCCTCGGTGGACAGAGTGTGCTTATGTCCCGCGTCCCATCCTAAATCAACGCCATCCTTTTTCTCGTCTGCTCCTAATTCGTACACTTTACACGCCTCGGCCATTCATTGATTGGTGTTTATTTCTCGTACAACATTTATTGGGGACCCATACGAAGGCCACCGGGTCCAGCACCACCTGCCAACTTGGCTGCCAACTTTGGGTACTTCTCTGTGACTTGAACTTGTGTTCTGGTTGCCTCGGCATATGACAAGGCGTTGACAATCTCACCCTCAGTTCGAGCGAGCTCGGCCGCGCGCTCGAAATACTTGAGAGCAGCAGGGACGTTGTTCTGTTGAAGGAGAAGCTGAGCCATGGTAGCGACTGCGATATCGCACTCCGGGTCGACTAGGTTATTGTTAGGATAATATTTGGCTGCATTGTGTAGGAGAATACTTACTAATAAGGGCCTTCTGGCAAAGAGCCTCAGCTTCCTTAAAGTCTTGCTTCCACTGGAACAGAGCCAGAGCTTTGTTAATCAAGGGCAAGACGTTCATTGACATGGGCTTAGTCTGCTTTTCCATCTCCATAGCCGTGTCGAACTTCTCGACAGCTTCAGAGAAGTTACCCTGGTCGAGGAGCAATTCTCCATAGTAGTTGTAGACATCAGGTACCTTAGGGAAGTTCTTAATGCAGCGTCGGAAAGTAGCCATGGACGAAGCAATTGAGCCCATCTTGTACTGGGTGACACCGAGTTGAATATGGGAGAAGATGAAGTCCTTGTCAAGGTCGATCGATTTCTGGTAATCTTTCTGGGCATCGGCAAGGTCTCCTTTGATGAAATGGGCCTGAGCACGGTGGTAATAGACATCGGGGTCGTTCTTATCCTGCTCGAGAGCCTTGGCAAACTCAGCCTCGGCCTTCTCAGGCTCACCCAGCTCCAGGCTGATGCTGGCACGCTTGATATAGCTCTGTGTCATAGAGGGGTCGAGCTCGATGCTCTTGTCGAAATCCTGTGTTGCTTCGGCATGGTTGCCTAGCAAGGTCCGGAATGTACCCCTCATGTTATAAGCAAGCGCCTCGTGCTCACCCAGATCGCCGAGCTCTAGAGCCTTCTCGAAAGCCTGGCGAGCCTCTTCATAGCCATCGCCAGTCTTCTTCTCCAGAGCTTGGAGTCCAATCTGCACTTGTCCCTTACCAGTATCAGGGTCCAATTCTTCCGAGTCCTCAAGGCCTTCGGGGCGAGGCTTAGGGCGAAAGCTTTGAAGGTAGTTGCCGACAAAGATGGGGCTGGGCAGCTTAGGTGGTCGGGAAGCCATCATCTCCTTGGCCTTTTGCTCGGCGAAAGTCTTGAGAAGTCTCTCGACAGCCTGGGCCGTAGACTCGCTCTTGAAGTTGTCGATGATACATGAGGCCGTGAAATCGAGGAGGGCCTCGGAGTACTTCTTCTGGTGCTCGTAGGCAGTAGCACGGCGGTTGATGGCCTTTACGTACTCAGGATCCATGTTGATAGCGGCAGTGGTGTCCTCGATAACCTGGTCCCATTCGCTCATAGCGCTGTGGCAGGCTGCCCGGTTGGAGTAGAAGACAGGGTCGGCCTTGCAGAGAATGGCTTTAGAGTAGAGGTCGATGGCCTTGTTATATGACTTATCGCCATAGGCCTTGTTGCCAGCCTGTTTCAGCTTGGCGGCATACTCTTCACGCTGTTCTTGGGTGAGGCTAGAGACAGTTTCTTCATCGACCTCGGGCAGCTCGGGCTCGCTCTCGGCAGAAGCAGGCTTGGGTTGAGAGGGGCCACTTGAGGGCGCTTCTTTATCAGCTTTGCGATCGGCTTCCTTTCGCTTTCTCCTCTCCTTCTTGCTCAACTTTGGTGTTGTGTCTTTGCCGCTCTGCAGTTTTAAATTGCAAGTTAGTCAAGGTTTGTTCATTATTAGTGCAGTGATATCCATCCGATACAGAGCCGCAAGGTGCCCGCAAAAATATCCGACATCATCAAAATGGAGACAGTGGCAATGGCACATACGTTGTCATTGAGGTAGTAAATAACGCCGGCACCTGTCACAGCAATACCAACACCTGCAATGGTGTAGACGACGGTCTTGTTCTCAGAGGCCCAATGTGTTAACCGCTCCCAGAGGCCGGAGGAAGAGTCGACGGGTACGTAGGTTGGCTGGCCTGGAGCCATTGACGGAATTGGACCCGACATTGCGAAGTCTATGTGTTATTGAAGAGGATCGGCGTAGCGGGGGGCGAGAATAGAAGTGAAGCCGTCGATGCGGGATTGAAGGGAGTCGGGAAGCCGATGATGTATGGGCGCGGACCGGAAGCAGTATCACAGAACCAGAACCAGATCACAGTTGGTAGCTTCGGCGGGCTGGGCTGGGCACGCGCAGAAAAAGCTGACGGCTCTGTTTGAAATTTGGCGCGAACAGTGGAGGTTCGCGGGCCGGATCCACTGAAAGTTTTTCCGATCAGCACCAACTTTGGTGAATTTGGATATGGATGCCCAGACCTGAGTGAGAGGTAGTGACGCTATGTCTTTGGTGACGTCCTTCTACCTTACCCTCATGCCTGAGGCACTTGGACGACGGGCTGGTCTCGGTAGGTAGGTAGGTACCTACTACCTATAGACTCAGCTGGGTACTTCTTACATTATCCTTTGATGTGAACTACAAACTATTACCTTAGTACTTTTTTAGTTATAATAACCTGAGATTCATCATATAGAAGTCGGATATGTTTATAATCCCTGGCGGTTAACAGACTGACTCAATGGTTCTGTTCTTCGCACGACCCCTGTCGTGATTTTGATGGTTGGCGGTCTGCCGATTTCTGCGAATTATGAGGTGACATGTTGCGGGGATTCTTCCATAATTCGGCACTCTCCTACATGAGATCGATCTTGAAAGCCCTTTCACGATAAAAATGCAGGGGAATAATATACAAACCCATGCTTAGGTAGGCATGGATGAATGGACAATGCCTGGCTCTTGAATACAGGTCTTGTCAAAACAGTCACTTACCAAAACTTGGGATATGCAACATCCATATCATGATTGGCTCTGGGACATCAACAAAGCCTTGTGCCTACTTCCCCGGCTCAGCCCTGGAGAGAGCGGCTACTGCATCTAAAGGCAATCAATTCGACATCTCATCCATGGAGATGGGGAGATGTTGACAGCCACCAGAAACCTCGCTTGCTCTGCTGTGCTGTTTCTGTTTCTGTTCAAAACGGATTCCATATTACTAATTCTGCCCTACTTCCTTACCTCTAGGTCTAATGTTACAACTTTGGCCATGCAACCCAGCTCGCTTTCAAAACTTAAGTGTCATATCCGACTAACTCCAAAAACATGCACTGAGAAAAATGCCCGACGACTTCTCCATTTTCACCTCTATGAGGTACGACGCTAGACTTGCACAGCTGAAAAGTCGAGGATGCGCTGGCGAGGGCTGGAACTCTGAGAACAACTCCCCTCTGTACATGCTTGACTTTCATCGCGATCGGCTCCTCAAGGCAGCGACACATTGGGGCTGGCAGTCCGCAGCAGACCAAATATCCGGTGACGATGGGCTGTCATATCTGGCTCAACTCATTGCAAGCGCTGTAGGGCCATCTCATCCAACACCTTTGAAACTTAAAATAGTCGTGTCTCATCAAGGCGACATCAGAATCGAGCACTCCAGCACACCCGAGGTTCCCATACACAACCTCTTGCCAGCTCGGCTTCCAGACCCATTTCGTCCTTCGCTGGAAAGCGAACCACAGAAGGTTTCTGCCTATACGGTTCTCTTGGATCAGGCTTCAACGACGAGGTCCGAGTATACTCATTTTAAAACTACAAAGAGGGCCATGTACGACGCAGCCCGACAGCGTGCTGGCATTAGTTATGCAGACCCCGTAGAGGTCTTGATCGTAAGCCAAGACGACGGTTCTGTGATGGAAGGGACATTTACTACGCCATATTTCTGGAGGGCCGGCCGTTGGGTTACACCACCTGTTGCAACCCAGTTCAGCTGGGAGGAAGGGAATGGCGGCCAAGATGGAACCTCGAGACGTTGGGCATTGGAACGGTATGACCCCCCCTGTCAGTCAATGAACAACAAGAGTCTCGATGCTGATTCAAGAGCAGAGGACTCGCTTCAGAGCAAGTTATCGATTCCAAATCTTTGATCCATGGCGAAGAATGTTGGATTAGCAACGGTGTCAGAGGATTCATTCCGGCCACCATTCGGCTCTTTTGATTAGAGATTACCGTGTCAATATAATTGGATCCCCATTGATAGCCACCATACATCACGGCTTCGTATACGCTCGTCTGGTGGCAAGTTGGGTATGGATACAGTTTTGACCGTGAGTTGTCAACATTGTGTTGCAATGCTGCTTGAGCCGCAGACTGTTGAGTCAATCTACCATTGGTGTACCTTTACATTTTATGCACTCTATACGTCTAGTTGATCATCGGGTTTACAGCTCTTTGTGGTCAACTCTAGATGATAACTTGAACAAGCAATGTTGCATACCCCTGAAAAGCAGGCATACACTCGACCGTTACTTCATCAACATTATCATCTCCTCTCACAAACGGGCCTTTTGCTTAATCTATCGGGGCCTTCGAGTTCTTCTATTCGCATGCACTGCTGCTGTATAACTATATGCCCGTTTTCACCTGATCCGGGGAATTTATGGAGTGTGGAAGGATAACAGGAGAACAAAATTAGCTGTCGGCTCCTGAGAAAGGCAAGAAATTGCAATTCTCCTGCGGCCGGTATTGACCGTTACACTTAATCTAGACTTGTTGTATTACTACCAACCAAGGGCTGGTTGTGTACCTGTGTTGAAAACAGTACAGATCGAGTGGCCTCTAACTCGATTCAGAGTAACTACTTACGTTAGATGGCAACGAGATTACTGCTGTTCTTACTTCCAACCAAGATGCTACTATCGACTTATATTGATTCGGCATGCGGCAATTTGGTTCTTTATTGTTCTGTATAGGTAAGGTAGAGTAGTTCAGCAGCTGAACTTGTTAGAAGGCCAGACATAAAGCAAAAAGATTTATGGTGTAGGGTAACTCGAAGTTTAAGTGAAACTCGAAGGGAAACGCGTCGTCTAGGAAGCTTCCACATCCTTAGGTATACATTCACCTACCCCTCCACGCAGCCAAGGAAGCGACGCTAGAGTAACAGATTTAACTTATGTTCGACCGTGGTATCGACATAACCTGAAGTTACAGTGTCAGGGATGTTTATGCTGAGCACGCTTGACCTCTGCTGCCTTAGTTGTCGTTTTGGGGGTACACAAGCGCCGGTCACTTGGCGATCCTGGCCAGACAACTGCACAGGTGAGACAACCTCAAAGCTTCTGTTCGCGAAATCGCAGATAAAATGCCCAGACGGTACTTTGGGCGGTCTTTCGACCCGATCTCGCCACTTGGGAAGCAATCGATTCACATATCAATGTGTTGCCTAAACTCTTGTTTCAACGCTAATAAGGAAACCAGGCCATACTATTATAGTTGAAATGAGGCAATCCGCTGAAACATCACCATCTATCAGCTACACATACCAGAACACTATTGAGCGCGACTAGTAATGGCCTCCGGAACTCAAGAGTCAGCTATTGCCGAAGGCCGCCAACTGTATGGCGCCAAGCAATACAAACCCGCCCTCAAGCAATTCACCAAAGTACGAGGCCTATTGTGCACAGCTTGCCTGCCCAGTTACTGACTATTCGCACCAAGGCAATGCAACTCTGCGTTTGTACTCGACAAGAGAAACGGCCACGATGTAGCTGCAAAAACTTCGAAAAGGTTGCTTCTGAGGGCGGCTCTATCTTCCACGAGGCCATGTATACCTGTGCCTGCAGGGTGCGCAAGACGTTTAGCAAATGCGATAATAAGTTACACATACAAGCCCTTGACTACCGTGCCGCAACATTTGAAGAGATGAAGGAGCTTGAGAGGGCTCAAAAGGACGCCGAATGGATACTAGAACTTGCACCACGGCTTCCAGATGTTTGAACCTCCCCACCAAACACATTTCAACAGGATACTTACTTGTTCAGGGGTATTTACGATTGGGCAAAATATCGCGCCTCCAAAAGAAACATGAATTCGCATGGAAAGTATACACTGCCGGCATCGAAGTGGGAAATAAACACCGTCTTGCTGAATCGCCTAAGTTTCAGGTACGGAGCTGCTTGTTCATGCGAAAGTGAATGGATTTATTTACTGATCTGATGCTAGAAACTCCGAGCCGCAAGACAACCACTGCACATACGGTTCTATCGCAAAGACCCCTTAAGAAACCCGCAGGAGATTGTTCAGCGTATCTTCCACTACCTCGACTTCGGGTCTCTCGTCCGATGTACCGGTGTCTCCAAGGAATGGAGGCAGTACCTTACTAGTCATGGCAATGAGCGGCTGTGGCGTACCTTGTTCTTCAGAGAGAAACTTGCCCATGACCGGCCACCTGGCGTGAAGTCACTTAAGAAATTGATTGCCTTCTCCGGAAACGACGTCCGTCAGATCATTGTCGAGGACATATCTCGCTTCAGACTCACTCAGCAAAAGTTAGTTGCCCTATTACAAGGGTCAAAGAACCTTGAGCATCTTGAATTGAGGGGTTCTACTGAAGAAGACCTAAGTATACCGGAAGGAAAGGGTATACTTAAAAAGCTGAACCATATCATTCTGCAAGACATAATCATCACGAAGCCCCATATCATGGTATCGCTCCTACAACATGCCCATGAGAGCTTGCAAACTCTACACATTGACGGCTTACCCCAAATCGACTCATCAAACCAGGCCATCTTTCCACACTTACCTAACCTTCAGTACATGCGGCTTGAAGAGCCTCGAAGACCGAGTCCTTTCAGACTGCGTATGGTGAGTGATTTTATTCTCTTGAAAACTGAGCGCCTAACTGACTGGGTGTAGTGGCATCTGGCCTCAAAGACGCCACGCATGCAGCAACTATATCTGAAAGACGTTCAACTTTCTGGGGATCTTCCTGCAGATGCTAAGCTGGATGAATTTTGGCCAGAACTCAAAGCAGTTACAGTACATGGACCCAACGATTCTGACCTGAACACTGCACAAACAATCCAGCAAGTAACTTCGCTGCGTGGAGGCCACACACTGCAATACATTGATTTTGATTTTCGATGGAGACCTGATGATGAGGGGCCTCTTGGCTTGATCATGTTGTCCGAGATACTGAATCGAGAGCCCGAGATGCTGGCCACCGATGGGTATGACAAGAATTGCCAGTATTCAGATCTCCGGTCATTACGTCTCCGGCGAGCAATGGTACCGCCATTAAAACTGCAAAAGGTGCTTCGTGATACCCTCACTTCGCACAAACTCCATACTCTTGATCTTGCCTTTCCTCTCGATCCCCAAGGCGTCCTCGAAGGATCTGGCAGTACCAAACACATTCAAGATCATGCCTGGTTGCGCGGAGAGCCGGCTATCAGGTCTATCGGGCTTTCAGAATTCCGATTCCGCTCATATCCCAAAACCATCGACGAGATGTATTTGCCGAACTTTCTAGCCAGCTTCCCTAACCTCGAGATTCTTGAAATCAACTCGTCGCATTATGAGGCTCGCGAGTTGTGCATTATGATCGAAGCGATACTCAAGGTTACCCACATACAACGGATTTACCAGAAAACAGTTCATGGGGAATGGGGAGACAAACTTCGTAAAGTGACGGAGATGCACGGAGTAGAGCTTATATGGGGTGACAGGCCAAGGGAATGGCCACTGAAGATAGATGGTTAGTCCCAATTGCCCCCATTGAGGCATTGCATTTAGAATATAATTTTGTCTTCGCCATAAGAGATACACTCGCGGGGTTCATATGGAGGTGAAGACCTCGCATCGCAGGCTTGCGATTCATGGCTGTCGGCCCCTCAAGACTCTAGTATTGCACACAAGATAACATGAGACAAATCAAGTGACATGCTATCAATCAATTCTCTTTCCGAATGCGTTATATCGAGCATATCGTTTCCCCCTTCGATATCAGTCCAAAGACTTCTGTGTGGACGTTTCATACCCCGATCTAAGAACAACAATCCCAACGCCTGTCGTACAAATATGCATTCTGAAGACAGCAACGATAGTTAAAATATCTCAACCAACGATGTTTGTAGTTCAAGCTCTGCCGACCTTGAATGATAGAACCTGAATGTGCTCTGTTAGCATGGAGTTTGGGAAAATGGAAGATTGCAACATACGTCATTCTTGCCCACAGCGACAAAATCGTCTTCAGATACTCGGATATTTCCAGCCCCCTCGACAAAGGCGATAGGTGCATCTCCCATCACCTTGCGAGCCACGTCACCGACCGTGCTGCCTTTCTTAACAAGAACACAATCGCGGAAAACAAACTTGGAGTCTGAAGCACCAGAACTGAAGGTAGAAGTATTCCGGACGGGGAAAACGGGCACGAGACCAAGGATCTCAGCGGCCTTAGAAAGGACTTGAACGACACCGGTAGATCCAAAGCGGTAAAGTACCATGTCCTTGAGATTCTCGATTCGATTACGATTTTTCTCGTCGAGATCTTTGAGGCCACCGCCCGTCGGGTCGCCTTGCTCTATAAGATCCTCCTTGGTGTCAATGAATTCACTGCCTTCGATATACTTGATGTAGCCCTGTTTAGCCATCTTCCGCAAGAAAATTTCCGAGATGGCTGAACATAACACAATGGTATTAGGGTCCTGCTGCTTGGCGATTTTGGAGATGTTTTTATCAGCGTCTGGGTGATCGATTTTGTTGAGTGCGATGACCGTAGGAAACTTTTCATCAATGAAGGCATTGACGACCAGCTCTACGGTCTCATTAGACCAATCCTCTAGGGGTTCCTTGATGCCGCAGCGATCAAGAGCACGGTTCACAATGGTCGATGTCGCACCGTAACCGGAGAACTGCGCTTGCAGTGTTTCTGTAGCAGTTGCCTTGATAGCCTGGTGCCTTCGTCGGATAGATCCCCATCGTTGCATGAGATTGCCGAGAACCCAAGCTACGATTTCGCTTCGTAGCCAAGCAATGTCCACGGAAGGATCATAGCCTCTTGTCTCCTTTCCTTCAGCATCGACAGTACCCGAAGCATCGACAACATGAATCAGAGCATCAGCATGTCGTAAGTCATCGAGAAACTTGTTCCCCAGGCCTCGGCCCTCGTGAGCACCGGGGACGAGACCGGCGACGTCAAGAAGCTCAATAGGTACA